CTATGGGGAAAATTTTGGTTGGCATGTTTAAATGTATATGACTGGGATGGGCTTAATCCATTTCCACCAGAACTATGGTAATTTTCTCTCAAATATGTATATATATATATATATATTATATTTCTTGTGTTCTTAATTTCTTTTAATAAATGAAAAAAGGATTCTTCCAGGTTTTGTACCATTTCATCCGAGTCATTTTTGGGTTCATACTCGTGCAATATACCTTCCAATGGGATATTGTTACGGGCGTAGAATAAGTGCCGAAATTACTCCACTAATTGAAAGACTTAGGCAGGAACTATATGTTCAACCATTTGGGACAATTAATTGGTCAAAAACTCGAAATAATATTGCTATGGTTGACCTTTCTGTTCCGCATACTAAATTATTAAAGTTATGCAATTGTATGCTTTATTTTTTATGAACTTGTTAATTTATTAATTAAATTTGAGAAATCTGATGCATCATTATTTATTTATAGATATGCTAAATATTTATGAAATACTTCCTAATTCTGACCTTCGAGATATTGCAGTTCAAGAGTGTTACGAATTAATTAAACTTGAAGATGAAAATACTGATTATCTTAATATTTGTTCTGTAAATAATAACCTTTATATTTGTATATATACATATCTTCCTATTTATTCACAACATTCATCATTGAGGATATTTCTTTTTAAATTATAATAGATCGCCAAAACCTTGCATGTTCTTTGTACATACTACGTGGAAGGGCCTGATTCTAAAGCATTCAAACTGCACAAAGAAAAATTAATGGATTATTTGTGGTATGAACATCTTAGTTTCCTAAATAGTTTTAGCATTTATCTCTTAAAATTGATACAAAAAATTTATTACGTTTCATGTATAGGTTAGGTTCGGATGGAATGTTGATAAGTCTTACAAATGGCTCTCAAAATTGGGATACTGCACTTACAGTTCTTGCTGCAATCGAAACAGGTAGAATTGCATTATTATCAAATTTGTGTTCAGTCATTAAACTTATTAATATTTTATTGTTTCAAATAGGACTTGCAGATGATCCATTAAATCACCAGTCAATGATGCATGCACTTGAGTTTTTAGATAATTCGCAAATAAAAAAAAATCCTAAAAATTTTAAAAAATGTTATCGGGATGGCACGATAGGCTCTTGGAGTTATAGTACTCGTGATCAAGGATATAATGTTTCTGATTGTTCAGCTACATGTCTCGAGGCTGTACTTAATCTTCAAAATAAACTTAAGTATGTTTTCTATATAAAATTTTAATATTTAAAGCCAATATTGAAAATTTTTTTTGATTTTATTTTTTTGCATAAAATAGTTACACACCAAAGCTAATATCTAAAGAACGACTTTGTCAGACCATTGACATATTATTAACTATGCAAAACTCTGATGGCGGATTTGGGAGCTATGAACGTATTAAAGGTTTAAATATTATGGAACGGTTAAATATTTCAGGAACTTTTAAAAATGTAATGGTTGAACATAATTACCCAGAATGTACATCTAGTGTTCTAAATGCTTTACATACTTTCCACAAACGGTATCCGGATTATAGGACTACTGAAATAAAGTAAATTTTTTTTCTTTGTAAAAAATTTATAAATATATAATTTATTTATATAATAATTCATCTTTTGTTAGGAAAGTTTCCAAAAAAGCACTTCAATACCTACATAATTCTCAATATGAACACGGTGGTTGGTATGGATCTTGGGGTATTTGCTTTACGTATGCTACTATGTTTGTTATACAATGTCTGAAAAATTATGGAGAAACATACGAAAATAGGTATTAAACCCATAAATTAATCTTGAATTACGGAAGAAATAAGTTATCTTACTAAATAATTATGCCTATTAGCCAGGTAGTTAAAAAAGGATGTGACTTTTTAATTTCTAAACAAAAAGAAGACGGTGGTTGGGGAGAATCCTATAAAGTTCATATCATTATATTAACGTTTTATTATATTTATCATATTCTAGATTATTGATTTTTAACTTTGCTTTTTTTATAAATAGTCATGTGTTACAGGAACTTATATACATCACGAAAACTCGCAAGTTTTAAACACAGCTTTTGCATTGCTTGCGTTAATGGCAGGTAAATACCCAAATGAAGAGCCTATTCGACGCGGTATCCAGGTATATAAATAGAACTTTACTAAAAGTGCAGCACTTTTCTACGTATTTTTTAATAGAGAATTAGCATTAATATATTTATATAATTATATTAATTAAAATCTTTTTGCAGCTTATTGTATCACGACAATTGCCAACTGGAGAATGGAAAACAGAATATGTAGATGGAATAATTAACAATATGGCAGTTACTTATTCAGCTTATAAATTTATTTTTCCTATTTGGGCATTAGGCGTGTATTCCAAAATTTATAATAATCCTATAATTTTTTAAAAAAAATGCATTACATATTTTTTATTTTACAATTATCCCTTAAACCGTCTAGCGGGCCAATTTGCCCGCTTAAATAAATTTTAAAAAGTTTTTTTAAGTTTCTTAAAGATATTTCTTTTATATTGTCACGGGCTAAAAACCGAAGAACAAGAGACGCGTAATAAGAAATAAAAGAAGACCGAATAACAAGATTTAGATATAGCTCAAGTGGCTGTAAAAACAAATGATTGTAGTCAGTGAAGCAAAGCCTTTCTTTTACGATAATAATGTTGTAATTAATATTGTAAGCCCCTTACCTTAGAAATTAGTTTCTTAAATTCATTACGACGTAATATATGAGTCACCCCCAAGCCCTTTAAATTCCTTACATTCGCTAAAGCTATAAAAGCTCAGGCATTTCGCTCTTCTTAAACATCATCCTACGGGATTCTAATAAGCCTCTTTCTAATATATTGAATAAATCATCTAGTCAAACTCATTTAATAAAATAAACTATTGTCAAATCACCAACGTCACGCCTCTGGCGAATGCCTTATGTTATAAAAATTCGATATTTTCGTACTTACACTAATTAAACGTATGAATCACCCCGTAACAATATATAATATTTTTAAATTTTATCATTCTATCTTTAATTTTGATATATTACACTTTTAATAAATTTATTTTTTAATTTTACTACAGTCATCCCTCTATATAATCACCCTATATAATCACAAACTCTATAGAATCACATAGTTATAAATTACTATTTTTTTTATTATTAAATTACCTTATATATAGTCACAATTAGCTTATAATCACTGTTACAATTCAATTTAAATTTATAGATTTTTTTAATAATAAAATTCCTCCTGTACAATCACATTTCTATAAGTTGGTTAAAATTTTCAAATTATTGTCAATAGAGTAAATTAAAATATGCAATATGTATATATGCGCATGTGGGTTCTGTATTTTTTCATCATATATGCGCATGTGTATATTAACGTCAGAATACTGTCAACAAGTCAGACGCTTCACACTTTGGGACTTTATGTAATATATGCCGGATTAAATCTATCAGAGGCATTTAGTTTGGATTTTGAAACATAGGTAAGTCTTTACTTTAGCTTGGTATTTTTACTTTTTACTTAAGATATTTGTGATATAAAATGCTTGGTGAGTTTACACAAAAATGAAAATAATTACGGATGAGGGCCCAAAATAAAAATTCTTAAATATAGTGGCCCAAATCAAAATTATTACAAATAAGGGCCTGTCCGATCTTCGAGCTATACTAGACGACTAAGCTCAAGACTTATATAGCGTCGCTAAGAAAAAATGGAAGTCAGATTTTTTTCTGGCATGACTTCAAAAACTGATTGCCAGTAAAGTTATGTTTATCATACTTAATAATGATAAATGTTAAAGCTTTGATATTTATTTTAACCTTTGTTTTGACTTTCATTTGGTCTTCGCTCT